GAGACGGAGGTGGGAGGGGGGATCGGGATGGGGAATACATGTAAATCCATGGCTAATTCATGTCAATGTATGACAAAAAAATTTGTAAAGTCATTAGCCTCCAACTAATAAAAATAAATGAAATAAAAAATAAAAACAGGGATTCATTGAGGTGACTAAATCACTACTGCCACTCCCTGTTCTTATACTTCTATTAACCACATCTCTAGAATTAAAAGTTACAAGATGAAGTCCCTCATTTCTCACTTCCTAACGCAAAGTCGCTAGGAACTTCTCATGACGATTTAAGCAGGCCCAAATCAAAACTAAGTTCACAGAACTACACAAACAGTACACACAGTACTTTCGTATGTAAGAAAACAACAGAATTGCATTACACAGAATAGTTGTAAAGGCCATATGACAAAATTAAGACTTTGCAAACAGTACAACCAGAAAATCTTCTACAGGTAGAAATAACATTTAACAATGGTGTATAATTGATTTTATAAGTTAAACATAGAATTATCACATGACCCAGCAAATCTACTCCTAGGTATACATTTCCAAGAGAAATAAAAGACATATGTCCATATAACTTTTACACAAACATTCATAGTAGTAGTCTTTGTAGTAGCCAAAAAGCAGAAACAACTCAAACATCCATCAATTGATGAAAAGATAAATAAAAGGTGATACATCCACACAATGGAATATTTTTTTGGCAATAAAAAGAAAAGAAGTGCTGATATATGCTATACCCTGGCTAAACCCTGACAACATTACACTAAGTGAAAGCAGCCAGTCAGAAAAGACACATTATTTATTTTATCTATATAAAATCTACAGGACAGGCAAGCATACAGAAGGAGATTCATGTCTGCCTAGAGGTGGGATGGTGGGGATAATGGCAGGAGAAACTGCTAATGGGTGTTGGGTTTCTTGTGGGGCTGACGAAGATGATCTAAAATTGATTGTGGCACTGGGATGTACAACCCTGTGGATGAACTAAAAACCACTGAACTGTACACTTTAAACAGGTGAACTGTATGCTATGTCAATCCTATCTGAATAGTTATTTTAAAAATCAATTTTGTGTTACAAACATCCTAAACATGTTTATGGATTTTGATAATGAAAATCTCCCTGGGGAGAAAAATCTTATAGGTACTAACAGTACTTCTACAACTTGCCAGAATCCAATCTTTGGAACATGCTTTCTGCTCCCGATTAACCCACAGAGAAAACAAGGCCCTTAAATGAAGAGAAATGCAACACTGAAAGGGAAGACTAAAGCTGATTCCTTTAACCTGATTGCATACTTCACATACTTTTTTTTTTTTACCTCCATTAGATAAGCAGATATCAGGTAAAGACTTTCAATTTTACACTGCTATTAACTTCTTTACTCATAAAATAAAATTATCCAAAATCAGGGGCAAAAGCCTGTAATAAAAATACTCCATTAAAAAGAAGTTTGCAATAGATGGATAGGTATTTTCGCCTTTCTGTCCTTTAGAATTGAAGCAGTACTTTAACAAGATGAAAAATATTACAAGTATTAACTGAGACCTTTTTGGTACAGAATTATCAAGTTCATGTTGGTGATGGCTTAGGAAAAAATAGAAAAAGTAAAAAGGAATAAACACACACACACACACACAAAATTAAGCTCAGCTAAAAAATGTTCCCTTTTTGGAATTTTGGTATATGTGTTTGCTAAACAGCAGCAAAATTTCAGAAAAAAACAAATGTTGCTCCTAAAAGTTATTGAGAGTCTTAAACAAATACCATCTTACATTCATAGAAGTTTTAAACTATTTTCACATTGTTATAATCTTTTATCTTCACAATCCTATGAAGTAGACAGATCATGTTATTACCATCCCTATATTAAGAAAAACTAAACAGAGCTCAGTCAAACTGTTTAAAATGGGCCTTAACTTCTACTTCATAAAGATAACATAATCGGAGTTGGAACAGACTTGAGTGTTCCTTTCACAGTTAATCTTCCCCCATTTCACAGACGAAAAACAATGAAGCTCAGGGAAGTCAAGACACCCACCCAATATTACAAAACTCTCAGTGACATACTGAAGCCTGGGAGGCAGGTCTCCTAACTTTCGGCTGGATACTCTCCTTTCACCACACTGCCCTGCCATGTCACAGTGAGTGATATAAAAGCAGGCTGAAAATGTTAAGAGTCACTAGAGAAGTGGGTAGTAGTAGTAGTAGCTCCAGAAAAGGGAAGACATTTTTAATTTTGAAAAAATTAAGACATTATGAAATAAATAAATTTAAATGTAAAACTACCTACCACCTTCGCCTTTTCCCCCTAAAATCCTCCTTCACATCTTCTTAAATCCCTGATTTGATCACAAATTCTTAAAATTTTCATAATCTGTACATATTTGTTCGTTGTTTAATCACTCAGTGCTGTCCGACTCTTTTGCGACCCCATGGACAAGGCTCCTTTGTTGGTGAGATTTCCCAGCCAAGAATACTGGAGTGGGTTGCCATTTCCTTCTCCAGCCTGCACATATTAAGATATCAAAAATTACTCAACTGATAAAATTTTACTTCAAATAGCAAAATATTTTTCAGGGGCCATGTTATATTCCTCTAAGTATTAAAGCCTGTTATTCTTGGTTATAGTAACTTAAAGTTATTTTATTGATACTTAGGTCACTGAAGTATTTTTCATTGTATATGCTCACTAAAATATTGCCATTGCAGACTTTTAGTTGAAACAGTAATCAGATCTGATAGACAATCTAATGCAAACATGAATTAATGAAAATGTTGTAACTGACTGGCAGACATGTATCATGTGATAGAAGGGTTTTTTTTTTTTGAGGACTGTAAGACACTGAGATTGAAAAGATTACATGGGCTTATACTGTCATAAAAATGTAGACAGCACGAATCTTATCAACACATGGTAAACAGATCTTAATCACTTTTTTAGGCAAGATTTTTGAAATGTTTCAATCCCAGCCATCCAGGAAGATATGCCAGGCTTTATACAAAACTCTATACAGGCTGAAAGACTCAAAATCCATCTGATGTATCTGTATATAAAATATCACAAGGAGGGCAGATCAAAAGCTATTAGTATTAAAACTAGAGCAAGATTACACACACACACACATGCTCATATATATGTTGCATATACATATATACATACATACATGACACGCATAATGTATTCATCCTTTTCAACAAGTCCTAACTGAAAGCTTCATGGACCAGGGAAGACCCCAAGGACTAGTAATTCAAAAATGATAACAGTCCCCACTGAGCGGGAACTCACAGTCACTCAGACAAGGCAGAAGTATTTCTCAAGAAATTATAAATGTGTTAAGTGCTGAAATATAACATTTCAATAATTCAAAATATTAGACACTTGGATATAATGATCAACTCACTTTAAATTGTACTAGTTCAGTAATGCAAGAGCCTAAAGTTTCTCAAAACAGGAAGTGAAAAAACATGCTTTTGAGAAAAGGCAGTGAACTGAAGCATTTGAACGCCTAGAATTTAATCTCATCTGAGATCATTCATGAAGATGAAATTTGTAAAATCTCACTATTTTCATGCCATAAAAATGTGTAATGAATGCTTTAAAAAGAGGAATTTTGCCTTAATATCCGAATCACTTTTGATGTTACTCTCACTTCCTCTCTTGGAAACCATCATAACCATTTCCTTTAACCACAATACCACATGTCTAGTAACTTCTAGCGATGTTTGTCTTGCTTGTTTTTTTGCACAAAGCTCATATAGGAACGAATTTCCAAGTTAAGGAGCATAATCTCGCAAAAAAGTTCAGGTCAATGAACCTGGAAGTAATACTATCTAAAATTATTACAAACTTGTAACCAAGTCTCTTCTCGGTAAATGCAGAGGGCTTCACTGGAATGACCCTGAGCTCCTGTCACACAAAATTGAAGTGTGAAGAGGCATTTTACTCTCCAGAGTGCACTAGGTTTAAAGTCAACCAATCCTTCTATTCAGGGAAGCCAATGGAACACAGCCATCGCTACACAAAATTTATCATTATTAAACCAGGACAGTCTTCTCCTCTAGAATTTCAGTGTCTACATCAAATTGCTGAAATAGGTCAGTTTTATATTGAACTCCATCATACGTTTTTTAAGTATTCTTTTCTTCAGGAGACCTAATTTACAAGGGCTACAACTCTACTGCTATGATTAAACTAAAAGGAAATATTCAGAATGCATTAAAAAGCCAACAAAAAAAGTATGAAGATATAACATCAAATACACACTGGAAACTGTCAGGATCCAGCTTGCATCAAAAAATCTTCAGTTTTCTCTATCAAATTACTAAAAACTTACTAACTTTGCCTTAAAAGGAATAGAATTTTGGTCTTTCTTTTCTAAAATAAATTAATGTAATATTTGCTCTATCCTTCCATCTATTTTTCTTAATTGCAACTCAGCCTTTCATTCCTTAATGTTGCGAAAGCCATGTACTTTCAATGGGTCTATTAGCTAGAGCTACTCAAATTATCAGACTACACCATAAAATCAGCATAAGAGCAACACAATCACAGTTTTTATTTTGTATAGACACCGAACGTAAAGAAATTTAAGCAACGATGTTTCGGTATTAGCGACATGGTTGGAAAAACTAAGATGAGGAGGAGTAAAGACAGACAAGAAGGTTGTTATTCCTGTCCTAGTGACTCACAACCCAGAAGTATTTCAGGAGAAAACTGGTTCCACCCTCACTCCCACCTCCTTTCCACCTTCAAAATGAAATAATTCCAAATCGTCAACACACTCTTCAATGGCTTTTATTTGGCGATCCAGAATAAAATGGCCAAGTGGAGATGCAGGGTTCATCCAGATGAGCCATTCCCTTCTCACGCTCCCACTTACATACCAAAAGAACTGAGGGGGGAAAAAAAAAAAACTGATTCCATCTCCGCCCGATTTCTACCATTCAATCTCAGTTACGGAACACCCAAGTTTTCCTAGCCCCCATCTAGTATCTCATCCATCCTCCTCGCTTTCGCGCAGACCCAGTCCCGGGGGCCAGGGCGCCGAGGAGGGGGCGGCGGCGGCGCCCCTCACCCCACGCCGGGCCGGCCAGTTCCCATTGCTGGGAGCGGGCAAATGGCTCCTCTCCGCCCCTGGCCGGCCCGCGACCCGGCGGGAGAGACGCCAGGGCTCCGCATTAGGCCGCGGCGCATCCCGGCGACCCTGGGCGGGCCTGCCGCCGCCCGCCGCCCCCAGGGCCCAGGCCTCCCCGGCCCTTCCTCCCGCCTCCGCCTGCCCGCCGCCCCCGCCGAGGCCTCGCCGGCCCGTGCGCACCTTCTTGATGTTGTAGAGGCGCGTGACCATGCCGACGACCCAGTCGTTGAGGATGGTGAGCTTCTCCGCCAACTTCTGCTCGCTAGGCTGCAGCACGGAGCGCGACATGGTGGTGGCGGCAGTGGTGGGGCCGGCGCTGCCGGCCTCGCGCCCAGTCACCGGCCCGCGGCCTCCGCAGCTACCTCGGTCGGGCCTCCTCCCCTCCCGCCCGTGACCTCCGTCTCAGGGGAGCGCGTCCATGGCCCTCGCGCCCCAATCCCGTGCGGGTGGACAGAGCGAGCCGCGGCGGACGCCTCTTCGTCCCTTTCCCCGCAGCAGCCCGCGCCCCGACAGCCTCCTGCCTTCGGTCCGCCGCCCTTCCGTCCCCAGCCCGGGCGCTCTCCGCCCCGGCCCCGACCGCCGAGCCGCCTTCCCCGGCTCCTCCACTAGGTGTGGCGGAGGCGGCGGCGTCTCTGGCGGCTGAGAACGAGGCCGCTTCCCCGCAGCCCCGGACGAGCGCTCGGTCACCTGATCTGCCGCGCCGGCGCCCTCGCCAGGCCGGACGGGGAACTGCGCCTGGGGGGCGGGGCCTCGGCCCGCCTTTCCCGGCCTCGCTGCAGCCGCCGCTCGGGACGCGGCTCCGGCTCCACACCCGACCCGACCCGGCCTGGCCCGCCCGCTGTCCGGGGAGCCTCAGCCCGACCTGCTGAGGTTACGCTTTTCTGTCCGCCACACAGCCCCCCCTTTCAAGTTTCCAAAAGTTGCCTTTCCACCGCCGCCCAGCAGAAGCCGCGGGCAGGGGGCGGAGGCAGGGCGGGCTTTTTTCTGGCGAGTTTCCCCCGAGAGTGGGCTGGTGGCTCCATGCGCTTCTCTCTCCCACTGCTTGACAGACGCTCCGGCTGAACACAGCAGATGTGCTCTGCGAGGCGGCCTTCGCCTCTGCCTTCCTCCCCTTTCCAGCCTATCTCCCCCGCTTCAAATCAGTTCAGGAGAGGGTTGGAAGCGAGGGCGACTCGAGTTCCTCAGATAATCAGAATCTGACATTTGTCAACGGGATTACCCTTCCAGAGAAGACGTCAACAGAATTCTAGGCCCTGGCCTGTGGGAGGCAGAAATAAATGTTTCTTCAAGTGGATGAAGGAACTTTCCTTTTTTTCTTTTTCTTTTTCTGGCCTCCACCCCAAATCCCACGCCACACCTTCTTGGCAACATTCTGCTTTTCCATCTTTTTTTTTTTTTTTTTCCTGATCAAATTCCTCCAAGTCAGACCTGAAGGTTGCCCCCTCTGATCAAATATGTTAGACATGATTCCAAAAGTGAGCAAACTCAAGGATTTATGTCGTTGACTTGGGTGAGGAACTCCAGCAAAGAGGAGTCAAGCTGTTTTGATGGATTTTTTTCGCTTTAATTTCGTTTGATGTATTAATTTTTAAGTAAGTGACAAAATATCCTGCCACCGTCAGTAAATGACATTATAAAAGTAAGTGTCGTTGGATTGATCAAAACACTTTATGGAAAGGAAATTGTGAGGAATATATTCGGAAACATTTTAAGCTAGTATATGTAGAGTTCCTTCAGAAATTTTCGTTTCAATATTACAACATAAAGGCAATAGATTGAACTTGATTTAAGGAGCTTTGAAAAGGGTCCTATATTCACCAAAAAATCCCACCTGCCATTATGCTTGGAATCCTGTACACAAAATTAACTTGAATGAGTTTTTTTTAATAGAAACACCTCAGAGAGATCACCTATTGAGCTAGTATTAGCTATTAGCATATTGCAGGATTTAATGTATCTGGTTGCAGTCCAACTTGATAGTTTAAGTATTAATTTAGAGAAGGTAAGAGTCTGGAACCTGAGATAGTGAGGGCAGGCCTGAGAAGGAGGGGCTGTAGGGAGCAGGGTGGGGAATAAAGATGTGCTTTTTTCAGGGACCAAAGGCAAATTTAACCAGACAGAGTCCTACAAGGAAAGATTATATATCATTTTCTAGTTTTTCAAAAGTGCTGTATAGAGAGAACAATAAAGTGGTGCCGCATTAAAATTTGAACACAGCTGTCATTTAGAAAAGCCACTCTGATGAGTCCATATGAACTTGAACACTTGAAGCTGCTTATAACTCAGAAGTACCGGATAGAGGGAGAGCTCTGTAGATTCTAGTCTCATTATTGAATTTTTATTATAACTAACTTTTAGACATAGTGGTCCTAGATTGAATAGAATATTTATATCAGGTGTAAGTGAAGTATTCATAATTCTTGCATTTCTCTACATTTTGCATCAAGAATTTTGTTCCTGAGCCAACCCTTTTGAAGTTTGCCCATATGTGTAGTGTGAAGTGGGCTTCCCCAGTGGCTCAGCAGTGAAGAATCCGCCTGCAATGCAAGAAACTTGGGTTTGATGCCTGGGTGAGGAATATCCTCCCTGGAGGAGGACCCCGCAACCCACAACAGTATTCTTGCCTGGAGAAACCCATGGACAGAGGAGCCTGGCAGGCTACAGTCCATAGGGTCGCAAAGAGTCAGACACCACAGAAGTGACTGAGGTCACGCATAATATAAAGTTTATTGTAAGTGCTAAGGTAATAATCATGTATTTTCCTATGCATATATGATTTCATGGCAAGTATAATCAGTGTATGTCCTTTTCTATTTCCTTTCAGTATTTCAGTCTTTGAAAAATAGGTCATACCGTGTGAATCAGCCTATAAAGTTATTATAAGAATTGCCCATCTTGTAGATTTCTTCTTCCTACTGTTTTCTGGAAAAGCAAAAAATTTTAAAAATGATTAGGAAACTTAGAAAAGATTAAGTAAGTTTTAAAAAGCTTGATTGGAGATTTTATTTCTCTCATCAAATAAAGCATAGTCTTCACAGTTCCTTTGGTAAGCTCTTCAAATTGTTTCACTTCAGTTAAGAGATTTCTGCTGTTTGTCCCTAGAACATAAGGCTTCAGAGAGATTTAGAAAGTAGATGATAGCTTTTTATTTGCAGTAATCATAGAAATTTAGCTAGCATAGACCAATAGGCCTTAAAAAGTGTGAATTTTTCTGTATGTCAAGTATATCTCAATAAATCTGACTAGAAGTTACAGAACTGTGTTTTGAAAACTTATTTTTTGTTGAGAGAAGTATAAAAGTACCCACTGTAAGGAAAGTAAACATTTGAAAACCCAAACTGGAAAATATATAAATTGGAAGAGGAATAAATTTGGCTTTATAGAAGAATTCATAATGGAATTATATTTTGTGACCCACAAATATATTTTACAATGATTCAGTTATAAAATCCTACTTATAAAATTTCAGAAACAAATCACGGGTATGACATATAACTGTTTATATATGTGTTGTGAAATATTCAATCATTCATAGTGACAATTCTGTATGGATTTAAATGTAAATGTTTGTACAATAAATACTTAAAATGTGCACAATACTGTTATTCTAAGAGGAGATATGAAGCTGTATAAGGTGTAGATTTTAATCTCCCTAGCTCACATTCTGGGCTTCCCTGGTAGCTCGGCTGGTAAAGAATCTGCCTGCAATGTGGGAGACCTCGGTTTGGTCCCTGGAGAAGGGAATGGCTACCCACTCCAGTATTCTGGCCTGGAGAGTTCCGTGGACTACAGTCCATGGGGTCGCAAAGAGTCAGACATGACTGAGTAACTTTTACTTTCACTTGGGCTTCCCTAGTGGTTCAGCTGGTAAAGAATCTGCCTGCAGTGCAGCAGACCCAGTTCGATCCCCCAGTCAGGAAGATCTCCTGGAGAAGGAAATGGTAACTCACTCCAGTATTCTTGCCTGGAGAATTCCATGGACAAAGGAGCGGGACAGGCTGCAGCCCGTGGAATCACAAGGAGTCAGACACAACTGTGCAACTAACTTTCACTTTTTTTTCAGCTCACATACTGGGTGAGCATAGAACTGTACATACACAAGGAAGTCTAATATAAAGCAGCCTGAGATACAGGGCTATGAGAGAAGTCTAGAGAAAAGAGTCCCAAATTGAAGTTCCTAAGCATGTGTGTATGTGTTGCTCACATGACTTAGTTGCTCAGTAATGTCCAGCTCTTTGCGATGGACTATAGCCCACCAGGCTCCTCTATCCCTGGAATTCTCTAGGCAGGAATAGAGATCGATAGTGGAGAGATAGTGGAGAGATCCATCCCAGGTTTCCTGCACTGCAGGCGGATTCTTCACTGTCTGACCCACCAGTGAAGCCCAAAGTTCCTAAGGATTATTCTAAAACTTATGTTTGTTCAACTTTAATAAGTGCAAAATAATTTTTTTAAGTGCAGGAAAATAATAGGAATGCTCACCACATACATAAAAGAACAAAGAAAGTTGAAGATAGAACAGAAAATAGGTATGCCTATGATTGCTAAAGCAGGAGGAAAAAAAAGGGAAAAATAAAGGTAGCTTTTGAGGCCTTGAGGATAATAAAGACAATTTGAAATAGTTGTTGACTTTATTAATTAGCCTTCAATGTCTCCTCCTTCCTTAGAATAAAGTCTACATCTCTCAGTCTCCCTTGTAGGCTAGTTCTTGCCACTAGGACATAAGCTTTCAAGAACCTTAAGAGACTGCTGTGTTCTCTTTTTGACAGTCTTCCCCTCTTATTTCATTCTCCCACATGAAACAAGGACCCAGAGACCACTATCTCAATTCATGAAGACAATGGCCACTCACTGAGGATGACAAAACATAGAAATGGAAGATGCAAGTGGGCTTCTTAGAGCAGAACTATCATACCAAACCTTCCTATTCTTTATCTGGATTTTGTGTGAAACAAAGTTTTATTTAAGCTTCTTTCAGCTGTGATTTTTTTTTTAATTATTCTCAACCAAACCTGATCCTAAATAATATTTTTTGTGGTCAACATTATAGTATCCTTACTGAGAATAAAATAAGGAATCCAATTTATTATTTATGTGTTTTTCACACTATGTGTCAGGTACTTTGAGTTACATTTTCTCATCTGCCTCTCTCAATTTAAGGTGCTTAGTTGCTCAGTCGTGTCTGACTCTTTGCGACCCCATGGACTGTAGCCCTCCAGACTCTTCTGTCCATGGGGATTCTCCAGGTATTCTTTAACTATTCTCAGAGGATAATATTCCTTAGAAAT